GACACAAACCCTTTAGGTCGAGGGAATTAAAGCGGGTATGAACAAACATGCATCTAAAGGTCGATTAGCAAAGTGATGCTCTCGAACGCAATGTTAGAAATCGGCCAAAATCATTAGAGAGTCTAATAGTCCAAACAATGTATAAGAGATTAATAAAATATTAAGACACTCTTTCTAGCTTCAAAGGGTAAGCCAAAATAAGAAAGATCATGTCAAGACTAAATATATCATTGAATTGCCAGTTGTATATTAATTTCTGACCAAGAATTAGTCAACTTATTCGAAAAAATAAAAATCACAATATATAAGCAAATAAGTAATAATTTGACAACTAGTGATAAATTAGAAAAATATAGTAAAGACCACAAGCAGAAGTTTTTGCGTTTCCTTTTCATGCTTTTATTAACAGGAGTTTTGCATATATTTAATTAACAGATCCCAACAGCTGAATGCAAATATGAAACATAAAAACCAGAGTTCATAAATCGATAGTGGGAGCACCTACTCAGTGATGCAAGCTTTTGAACTTGAGACTTGTAAGAAGTCGCTCAGGGGAATGGAGCTAAAAAATCGATTTCTTACAGAGATGCACAATATGTAAAGCTATATTTGATGTACAGAAAATTATATAAGAAAATATGGAATGCTAATTTCTAGTAAGATATTTAGATTTTTCCCAGGCAATTCTAAGTTTTTTTGGGAAATAAGCCAACTCACAACCTATGGTTAAAGATTAAAATGAATGAGCGTACGCTGTGGACGCACATTAAGCAACAAACAGAAGTACATTCAAAAATCGCAACATACTATTTCTCATTTCTGCCTTATTCAGGAATTAAAAAAGAACCGCAGTCCGGAAAGAGCGAGTTAAAAATGCAGAACAGGCTTTTTAATTGTCACGAGTAAAAGTATAGAATTTATAAGCAATAAATGAGGCATTTATCAGACTCACCTGGAAGAGCTCACCATTACTGATGAAGCCATCTTTATCAATGTCATATATTTTAAAGGCAAATCGGAGCTTGGCATCCTTAGCGCCTTTAACGCTGAACTGAGACATTCCATCGATAAATTCCTTAAAATCAACTTCACCATTACCATCCGAATCAAATATCTCAATGACTCTTTGTACTAGCGGGTTTTGTTGTAATTCAGGCAAGCTCATGAATTCATCCACGCTTAAAGAGCCAGATCCGTCCAAATCCAGCTTCTTGAACCTCTTTCCTAAGCGCTTAATTTCTTCAAGATCAAAAGTAGAGCACAGCTCGGGAAGAGAGTTTTCATTGCCCATTACTTGCAAAAAAAGCAAGGCGAATGCGCGAAAGTAGACGCAGAAAGGTAGGAGGAGAGGGCGGGACAAGCCGCTAAGATTCCTAAAATGGCCCTTCCAAACAAACGCAAGAAATAATGTCAAAAAGGATTTATAATTTAATTTTTATTTTCAAAAATATTTGAACAGAAATGCTTTTTAATTTACAACTTTTAAATATAATTTAAATTATTTATAACAGAAGGTAGACAAATAAGAAAGGTTGAGCATATTTTACTTTTAACTAAGCAATTTTCGGGAAAATATGATACACTTTACTCATAACTACTGCCAACAACCTTTTTAAAGTTAAAAAGCAGACTAATTTAAATGATTTTTAAAAATTCCTTTAATTTAAATTGTGAATACCGGTGATGCATCGATTTCAATCTTGATCATGCTGCTATTTTTGAAAATCATTCTTTCTATCAGCTTGAGTTCTCCATCACTTAGTTTAAAAAAGTGGAAACCTATATATACTTACGAAAATAATCATTATTATACTTTAAATCGCCTCAATCTCCTCTGAATTAATATGCTAATGGTAAGGCTTCATACCTAATTGAGCTTATGAGCTTTTTATAGTAGGATTCTCTGTGTGTATGAGGGAGAGTGCCTAGTAATATTTCTGAGTAGTAAGATCTGAGAACGATATCTGTTCTTGAAAATCAAGACTCGAATAAATTTATTTGCTGAAATAGGTTGATGCTGCATTCAATTTTTCTTTGAACAAAACACTTGCCTCCTTAAGTTGCTGAGCGTTTAAACTAAAATGGGATATATAGAGAGTTTGAATTTGGGCATAGTTACGGTTATAGTGCAAGCCAGCAACCACTATATCCTCAAGTACAAGAAATTTCAATTTAACTTCCTATTTTCATTCATAAAATTTAGCCCACATCTTAATCAACTCATATTGCCTCTCTTGACTCACACTTTACAAAAAACGTAGTATAATCAGCAGGCAAATGAGTCTGAATTCAAACTTATTCATGCATACATTCTTCTATTTACTTAGTTTTTTCTAATTTATCTAGCAAAAGCTTTTACTAACTATTTTGTATCAAATTTACTCTACCATGCTGGGTGAGTTGAATCACCAACCGTATGAGAACTCTAGGTTATTGTGACCTGATTTCATATAAGAAGTTTAACTCCTTATTAAAGAAGGAATGTCATAAAATATCCACTACAATTTATTTGTAAATCGGCTTTACTAGATATTTTTGCCATTATATGCGTCCTATTAAGAAATGAGCATAGAGGAAAAGTCAGGACGTGAGATTAGAGCACAGGTCTCCTAACTTGTGTTAAAGTAAATAACGCCTCATCAACAACTTTTTGAATTTACGTAACGATTTATCCCAATGTCTCCTATTCGTAGCCCCATGCTTCAACTAATGATCGATTTGAAAGTTCTTACCGTAATCTCATAAATATGATTGGACAGAAAAAAAAGAATAAACCTTGCATATGCTGGTTTCCTACACTGCTTTATTCTTTCCTTAATTAGATAATTAACTAAAATTGGAACTTAATCCTCCTCTTTTCAGAAAGTATTACATTTCAACGATGGTGAATTTAAAATAGAGATTACATCAGCAAATTTGACTAGGATTCTACCTTGCAACGCTGGGATTAAAGTTACCCCCCTTATTCCTATGTGGTCCAATTCCGATGATGTTGGCCGTAATACAGGTGAAAACTGAGCATGCATTATTTGAACAAAATGAAGCTGCCTCAAATGTTGCGTGCATATGGAAATTCGAGTAAATCTAAACGTAATAGACAACTGTTAGTAAGCTTACTCAAATAAAATTAGGTTCCTTAATTGGGGTAAAGGAAGAATCAGCGTTTAAATTCAGTCGGCCTATTAAAAATTTCAATCTGACCTCAAAACAAAGTTCTGTACAAACGTCACTAAAAATTTAATGTATGGCATGTAAATACTCTTAGATTTTAAATTATATTGAAAACAATTATTTTATGTAAACGAGTTTCATCAATAGTTAACAATTGTATCTTTTAATTAATATAGGAAATACATTTTTGTCAACAACTTGCGCAATATGGGGCCAAAACTTATGCAACTTATTTTCTGATCAAAGGACGTATTAATCCAAATTTTTTGAAGCATTTTTAATATTATGACCTACAAATTACTATCTGTATTTAGATTACTAGTACCAAGTTTTAAAAGCTTACTGGAATCTGACTATGATTCCCGGAACTTTCTATGTTAAGTTCAAATTATTCGAGATGTCGCGGCAAGTCCTCATTATCTTATGCTAATCCTCGACATTTTCACTCCTACAGGTGTTTCTGCACGAATTAAAATTTCTATTTATATCTAGATTTATTTCTACTTCTCTTTACTATTTATACATCATTGATTTTTATACCTATATTTAAGCTGCTTTTCTTGGTAAAAATATCTATCTTTTTACATTTTATCAGCTTATTCTGAGTATTGCATTAAGCCGATTCTCCCCAACCTCCAAAATGTCCATATAGTCCACAGTGCAAGTTGTTTTGTTGTATCCAATGAGTGCATATGCAGGATGAAATTGTTCATTAATCGTGATTTACATCATGTAACTTTGTAAGCATTAGCTAAGGTCTTATAAATTTGGCAAATCATATTTAATTAGAGCAATGAAGACCAAGATGATTTGGTCTTTATTTTTATCACATTTCCTTTTAAAATAGATAAGTTGACTGACCATGTTTTCACAACTTATTTTTGTTATCAAAGCGGCGTCTGGGAATGTATCAAGTTCACGGTCCGACGCTGGCAATTGTGATAAATATTGATGTACCTTTCATATCGTTTAAAGAGGCAGGTTTCTACATATCAATTGTGATAAATACCGTGGCAGAGGACATCATACAATATGCTTATGACTAAGTTGTCCTGACGACAAGGCCGAGTTGCGAAAACGAGGTCAGTCTGCCTGAATTTTCAACTTTGATGCAAATGAAGAGGCCGTCAAGCGATTTTGAATATAACAGATCAAGCGTAGAATAAAAAAGGGATACATGATTAGTAGGTAGAGCTTAGAATCCCTCAAAATTTATTATTATTATTATCTCATACAAATAAAACTAGTTTATCAAATATTCTCATAAACATTAAATATATAAGTGCCTTCGAAGGTATGAAGACCAAGATGGTGTGATATTTTGTGTGGCCACAGTCTCCTTTCGTTGTATAG